CACAGTGTTACAGGTTCTGTAACATGGCCGGGTACGCCAATCATCCGTGAAGGTGCCAAGTGTCAACAGGGTGGAGACGGCATATGTCAGAAGAAAATCACTTCGTGTCCAGGAACTAAAAGAGGAAGAGAGATATGGGGTTCCACGCTCCCCTGCCCCAACGGCGTACCCCTCATGACCCAAGTTCCTCTCACCAAACCCCTTTTCCAAAAGATCCACCTGTAGGACCACGCCTTCAGGCTTTTGGGGAACGCTTGTTATCTGTCTTAGTTTTTCTTCATGTCACCATGGTAAAATGCTCTGACAGAAGCAGTTTGAGAAAGAGTTTACTCTGGCTCACAGTCCAAAATACAGTCCGTCATGGTGGGTGAGTCAAGGCAGCGGGGACTTGAAGCATCTGGCCACATCCAATACACAAATGGGGAGCAGAAAACGATGGATGCAAGCTGATGCCAGGTAGGGAATGGTGCCACCCACAGTGGGCAAGTCTTCCTGTCTTGTCGTTTGTGATCAAGGTAATCCCTTATAGCATGCCCAGAGGGTCGTTTCCAGGTTAATTCTAGATTTCTCAAGTTGACAACACTAACCAGCATCCAGATTGTGGCAAACCTATCTCAGAGCTTGTTGTGAATGCCCCTGCCTTTAACCTGGTGAATGACTTACACCAGGATCTTCTTCCTAGATTGAAGGAGAATGGTGACATGAAATTGTGACCGTATCTTGGCTAAATGATTATTTGTTTTTAGTGCACTATCTGAAATATATATAAATGAAATCATTGGTTATGCTGCTCCCTGGATTGTATGAATTTTGGGGTGAATATCAAAAATTAAAATTATAAGCCAAATAGTGGTGGTGCACATCTTTAATCCCAGTACTCGGGAGGCAGAGGCAGGTGGATCTCAGTAAGTTCAAGGCCAGCCTGATCTACAGATTGAGTTCCAGGACAGGCAGGACTGTTACACAGAGAAACCCTGTAGCTGGAGTTTTCCTGCCTGGCCCACAGTCAGGACAAATCTCTCTCACCTGCCAGTCCCACAGCCGCCCAGACCCAACCAAGCAAACACAGAGACCTATACTGGCCACAAACTGCATGGCCATAGCAGGCCCCCTGCCAACCGTTCCCACAGCCCAAATTAATCCACTTCCATCGATCTATACCCTGCCACATGGCTCGTGGCCCACCGACATCCCCACATGCTGTTTGTCACTGTGGCGGCTGGCAGTGTCCCTCTGACTCAGCCCTCCACCCCCCCAGCCCCATTCTCCTCCCTGTCCCGCCCACACCTCCTGCCCAGCCAATGGCCAATCAGTGTCTTATCCATTGACCAATCAGCAACACATTTGCCATACAGAACATCCCACAGCACTTCCCCTTTTTTTCAAATAAATAAATAAATAATAAAATTTAGACTTTGGAGTCGTGGAATTAGGCAGTCTCGATGAGGATGGAAGCTTGCCGATGGTTTTCTCTTCCTACCAGAAGATAATGGCTGCTTAGGATGGAAGTTCTGGTACGAGGGTTCTATCATGCTACAAGGGATGAGTTATGTGGACTGCCCCGGGGTGCTACATGGGAGGAGCACCCAGTAGGTTAGGGGAGACATGAAGGGAACATGGAAGCATTCCCTACAAGAGGACAGTGGGCAGTGTGCTCTGAGACTGTGGGAGATGCACATACTTTACCTACGCTGAAGAGTTCTTTGCTCCAACCCTGTTCATGAAAAACATGAGAAGAATGCTTGCTTCGGCAGCACATATACTAAAATTGGAACGAAAAACACAAGAAGGGCACTGAGGATGTAGCTCAGTTGGTTGAATGCCCATCTAGCATGCACAAAGCCCTGGGCTGATCACCAGCCACACATAAACCAGGTATGGAGGTACACACCTGCAACCCTATCCTAGCACTCCAGACGTAGAGGTAGGAAAATCAGAAGTTCAAGGTCATCTTGGACTAGATAGTGAGTTCAAGACCAGCCTGGAATATGTGCGAATTTATCTTAAAACAAAAACCAAAACCAAGGCATCAAAATATGCTTGCCTGTAACCAGAATCCACATGTCCCTCTACTGCCCACTGGCACTGTGCCCTGGGCACAAACAGGCAGGCGCCCAGAGGAAGTCTGGCTCATATGATTGACAGCAAGCAAGTCAGTGGGATTTCCCTACTCCACGGCAACCTCAGTTACACTCCAGCGTCAGCGTCTGATGGACTCAATCATCAGCAAAAACTATAAAAAGCCCCTGTCAGGGAGCAGCCATCCTTTGAGAAGTGTGAATACGAGGTAAATGAGCAGCTTCTGCAGGGACAGTTTTATAGCAGTGAGAAACTCCGCGGTAGAGCAGACTTCGGGAAATGACAAGTGGTCTCCAGGCTTCTCCTGTTCCCTCCTCAGCCTGCCTGCCGCTCACCCAACTTCCAGGGAGCTTAGGTTTCTGGTTGTTTCGTTTTTAACCCTCACTTGTTGAGACCCTGATAAATAGCCCAGAACTCCGAATTAAGGTCCAGCCAGCTATTGAAAAATAAGCATTTATCTTTTTCAAAAGTTAGGCCTGGATATTCTCAAACACGAGAGAGACACTTTGAAAAGACATTCTAGGTATGCAGTCGTTTACTGGTTCTGGTTGTCATTTGTATTCCATGTCAGAGAAAGGGGTTCAGATCCAGGGCTCCTATTAGTCACTTTTCTTGTTACCGTGGAAAAAAAAAAATACCTGGCAAGTGGTTTAAGGAAGAAAGGATTTGATCTGGTTCACAGTTTTGCAGGTACAATCCATGATGGTGGATAAGGCAGGGCACAGGAGTGGGGAGCGCGTGGCCACATGATGTCCACCGTCAGGAAGCAGAGGGAGATGAATGCTGGTGCTGTGCTTGGCATTCGCCTTTCAGCCCAGACCCAGCCTACGGGATGGTGCCACGCACATTAAGGTGGCTCTCCCCTCCTCAGCACATTAAGGTGGATCTCCCCTCCTCAGTTAAGCCTCTCTGGAAATGCGCGCGCGCGCGCGCGCGCGTGCACACATACACACACACACACACACACACACACACACACACACACACACACACACACAAAGATGTATCTCCTAGGTGACTCTGAATCCAGGCAGGTTGACAACGAAGATTAACCATCATAGGGCATTGTTAGCTTGATATTTTCACTGCTTAGTCATATCAGCGTGTGTGTGTGTGTGTGTGTGTGTGTGTGTGTGTGTGTGTGTGTGTGTTCACTCATGCATGTGGGAGCCAACCTCAAATGTCATTCCTCAGGAGCTTTCCACCTTGGTATCTGTGACAGGGCCTCTCAGCCTGCAACTTGGCAATTAGGCTAGACTGGCAGGCCAGCCGGCCCCAGGGATCTGCCTGTCCCTGCCCCATCAGAGCTGGGATTCCAAGCATGCACTTGTCGGTTTCACATGCGTGCTGGGCATCAAACTCAGGTCCTCATGCTTTTATATCTAACACTTTACTGGCTGGCTATCTCCCCAGGCCCTCAAACTGCTTCTTCATAGCCTTCGCTAATGTGGGCTGAAGAAGCTGAGTGGTCTTCATCCCCTGGGTCTGATCCAAAAAAAGAAAGAAAGAAAGGAAGGAAGGAAGAAAGAAAAAGAAAGGAAGGAAGGAAGAAAGAAGAAAGAAACAAAGAAAGAAGGGAAAAGGCTAGACTGTAGCCTCCTAGACTGAACTATCCTCTATCCTGGTTAGTGCTGGAGAGAACTGAAGTCATGATGCCAGGGGCTGGAGAGCGAGCGCTTCATCAGTTAAGAGTGCTTGCTGCTCTTCCAGAGGACCAGAGTTTGGTTCCCAGCATCCATCAGGCTGCTCATAACCACGGGGAACTCCAGTCCCATGGGATCCAGTGCTCTCTTTAGGCACCCAGTCACATCACACACACACACACACACACACACACACACACACACACACACACACACACACGAGTGAGAGAGCTGAAAAACGTCATATGAAAATATCTTTTAAGAACTAGGTAGTTGTATAGTCTTTATATATCACCAGGGTAGATAAGGAAAGCTATGTCCCTGCACTATGCTGTAGGTTTGCCTCTGCAGGAAAAACCAAACCTCGTTAGTGTTCCATTGCAAATGACCGTCAAACCTTTGCCTTTTGAGAACTTATTTCCTGCAGCTGTGTGACCTGGGCTTGCTCCAGAAGAGTGTCTCAGTCATTGGACTTACTCTCTTAGGGCTCACACAACAAATTGCCACAAACCGGGTGGCCTAAAGCAAAAACATTTTATCATCTCACAGGTATGGGGCCCCAAGTCCTAAGTCAAGGTGTTGGGAGTGTCAACTCCTTTGGGCCGTCTACCGGGAAATGTGCTGTGTGCCTCTCAATCCTTGACACTTCGCTGGCCTGCGACTTCATCCTTCTGACTTCTGCTACCATATTCGAATGCTCCTCTCTGTGTGGCCTTGAGTCCCAAATCCCCCTCGAGTCACTAGAGTTAGGGCTCACCCTAGATCAAGGTGACATCATCTTCAGCTTCTGTAAAGGCTCTATGTTCAGGGACTGGAGAGATAGTTCAGTGGTCCAGAGCACTGGTTGCTCTTCCAGAGGACCCGGGTTCAGTTCCCAGTACCACATGATGACTCAGAACTGTCCATAACTCCAGTTTCAGGCAATCTGATGCCCTCTTCTGGGTTTTTTAGGCACCACACACATAGGATGCACAGATACACATGCATGCAAAACCCTCGTGCACATAAAATAAATTTTAAAAAAGAGGGAGAGTATAGACATACAGTCCTTAAAACTTTCTTCCTCTGAGCCCAGCAGCCTGTTGCCTTCTGTCTTTATATATTTTGAGAGAACACAAATATGTCCAGGAAATTTGCGGCTCCAGTAAATACTTCAGAGATGAGGAAGGAATGAGTATGGAGAGAAGAGGAGCCTCAGAACCTCACTAATAGTGTGCCATTGTGTCTAGAAAGTTGGAGTAAGACTAACTATCTCCCTCCCTCCTCTTTCTTTTTCAGCAAACTGCCTAGCTGGGCTAGAGCTGTTGTTCCCAAAATATTTTATGTGACCGAGAAGGCTTGGAATTATTACCCCTATACAATCACAGGTAAGTCCTCAGGACAGGTCAGCCACGGGCAGCAAGTACAGGGCTGGGACAGTAGTGGAATTTCACTGAGTGAGGGCGGACTGTCCCCACAGGGCCGGCCAGAGGTTTTCTCATCCATGTTTCCCTGTAGTTTGTCCACAAGCAAGTTGACTTGGTTTTTATTTTGCTTCGAGTTTCTCTCTCCTCTCAGAGGATGTGAGAATCTTTAATCTCATCTTCATAACAACCTCTGTTCTGAATACTGTATCAGGCACAATCCCCCTGCCCCAGATTCTGATGGTTGTGTCCCAGGGCTCGTACACATGGGGTCTCGGGATCCCGCCTTCAGCGTCTTGGCAACTCTTTGTAATTGTTTTAAAAAGAAGAAGAAAAAGAAAGAAAGAAGCTGCTTTTCAGCTGCAAAGGTTCCCTTTGTGGTTAGTGAAATGTTCCACTGGGATTATCAGTCTTTCATTCTGCCTTTACAATGCCAACACTTGGGTTTTTAATTAGCCGCAAACCTATAGGCTAATTGAATCTTGACTAGCCAGCCTGATCTGGCCAGCGCAGGAGTACCGGGAAACATAGAGACATTCAACATTTACAGAAAGCTGATGTGTGGAGGGTTTCTTTAGCTCGTTTTTAATAATTATAACTTGTTGGTAGCCATTAGTGGTTTGTGTTCTGTGAACTGGTCTCATTCATTTTCTTCTCTTTTTCTTTTCCCTCTCCGCCATCTGAACGTCTGGAATCAGAATACACAGTAAGTTCATTTAATTTTCAAAAGTATTCTGCCTGTGATCTGTTGATTAATTGGAATCTGCTTCATATTTGTCTTATTAATGTAGTCACTTTTTTAAAAGAGGAATAATTCAGAATTAGAAATATTTAAATGTAGGCTATTATATAATTTTACATATAAGTTAAGTGTTCTCATTTTTTAAAGAATATTAATGTAATTTAAGTGCCTTAATAGTCACTTTACATAATTAACTTTGGCTTGCAATTCTTATATAGCCTGTTTCATTGTTGAGAGTTCAATATAAGAAGGCTGTCTCACAATGTGGTATTAAAGACGCTATGGTTTTGGTGGAGGTTGGGGCCTTTCTATGGGGGAGATGCATATGCAAATGATCACACCAGTGCCAGAGTGCTCTGTCTCTGTGGCTGGATGAACTAATTGAATTCCTTCCTGTCCTAAGAGACAGACAGACTGCCTTACTTGGCTTCCTGTTGCTGTGATAAAACTGACCAAATGTAACATGGGGGCAGAAAGAGTTTATTTGGCTTCCACATGTCCTGATCACAACCCGTCATGAAGGGAAATGAGGCAGGAACCTGGAAGCAGAAACTGATGTAGAGGTCATGGGAGAACACTGCTTCCTGGCTCACTCCTCTCGGCTCAATCTGTTTTCTGAAAGAACACAGGAGCACCTGCCCCAGGGTGGCACTGCTCGCAGTGGGCTGGGCCCTCCCACTTCAGTCATCAATCAAAAACAATGCCAGATCCCCTGGAGCTAGAGTTCCAGGCAGCTGTGAGCCACCCAGTGTGGAGGCGAGGGACCAAATTTGGGTCCTGCAAGAGCGCTCGAGCGCTGTTGAGCCACCTCCCCGGCCTTCTTCTCTGGATATTGACTGATCGTCACGAAGTGGACTTTGGGGGCCTAGGGAGATGGCTTGTTTAGTAAAGTGCTTGCCTTGAAAACACAAGGACCTGAGTTAGAGCCAGCCCCTGCTTAAAAGCTGGGTATGGCAGCTTACATCTCTAACCTCGGGATTTGGGGTAGGGGTGGGGAGATGGGCAGAGCCCTGACGCTCGCTCGTTGGCTGTCCAGCCTGACTGAATTGATGAGCTTAAGGTTCAGCAAGAGACCTTGTCTCAAAAAAATAAGGTCGAGAGCAATCAAAGAAGAAACCTAACGTCAACCTTTGACCTCCACATGCACACACATGAACATCTGCATGCACACGTGTATCCAAACACATACATACAACCACATGTAAACTCAGACAAAGGAAGTGGACTTTGGAGTTGGTTGAATCCTGCCTCCAATGCCTCCAAATGGCCTCCCTGTAAGTCCTCATCTCCTTTTTTTTTTTTTTTTTTTTTTTTGGTTTTTCGAGACAGGGTTTCTCTGTGTAGCTTTGCGCCTCTCCTGGAACTCACTTGGTAGCCCAGGCTGGCCTCGAACTCACAGAGATCCGCCTGGCTCTGCCTCCCGAGTGCTGGGATTAAAGGCGTGCGCCACCACCGCCCGGCCATCTCCTTATTTTTAAATGGGGAAACCTTGTCAGCGTCTCACGAAGGTGATGATTGTGTTGAAGAGTTCCTCGAAATCTTATCACAGTGCATGGTCAGTACTTAGGACATGTTCACTGCTCTGTGTGGTACTATAGCAGAAGCTGCCATTCTCCTAGTGGGCTCTACATAGGAACAGAGCTCGGAGCCAGTCAAGGCAGGTTGGGCTTTCTCTGTGGTCATGGAAGGACTGTCTAGGGGGTGGGTAGTTACTGTTTTCCTTCTCCCACTCTTAAAGAGTGTGCCTTTTCATTTGAGATGAAGTCAGTAGTGATGGTGATGTGGACAAAGAGAATTGATGTGCTTCAAACTGTACAAAGAGTAATTTGCTTGAAACCTTAGAATTAAATCACCTTGATTTGACCCCATGTGAACATGATACGTGAACATGATAGTTTGTTTGGTTTGGTTTGGTTTTCTTTTTTAGGACAAGGTCTCACTGTGTAGCTCTGGCTGGCCTGGAACTCACTTTGTAGACCAGGCTGGCCTCGAACAGAGATCTGCCTGCCTCTGCTCTCCTCTCAGAGTCCTAGAACTAAAGGCGTGCACCACCATATGCCTCATGATAGATAATGTAACAAAGGAAGTGATACTGCGTCATTTAAAGAATATGCATCCTTTGGTTACCATTCTCACTGCTGCGGCCAAGGAAGGGTTTATTTGGGTCCCCAGTGAGAGGGAATACAGCCTGTCATGAAGGAGAAGGCATGGTGGCTGGAATGGGAGGCAGCTTGGTCGAATTGTATCCATTATCAGAAAGCAATAGATGCCGGTGTTTGGGTTTCTTTCCCTTTTATGCAGTTCAGGACCCCAGCCCATGGAGTGGTGATTCCCACACTCGGGGTGTGTTATTGCACTTCCGACAGTCCAATCTAGAAACTCCCCTACAGACCTGGAAACAGTGCAAACATCTGACAGTGCTGTCCTGTGAGGCCTTCCCGTGGGAGCCTCAGTTCCTCTTGAAGGATTCTCAGTGGCTTAAACTTCCGCCAAGCCTCTGCCCCCCGCCCTGAAACCCAGCAGAATGCAGTGCTAATGAGACTTTCCTGTTTAAGAAAATTGGAGGTCCCGTATTCAAAGAGGGGGCCCATTTTAGTTGTCCAGTGCTGCGCCCCATGACTTTCTGTCTGACTCAATACTTACTTGCTCCCTCATTATTCTGCCCTCCTATCTTTTGCAAAATTCTTTCTTCCTCAATTCTCTGGGTTGCTGTCTGTCTGTCTGAGGTCAGCAGTCATTCTCTGGGCAACCATGTGTGCAAAACATCATGCTTGATAGCACCATCGAGCAGCTCTGCCCTCTGAGGTCATAATCTGGTGACAAGAATGTGGACATCCCAGTCAGAGCCTTAGTGTTGTCAGCAAGTCTTGGGGGTCTTTTAGAGGTCAAAGAGGACTCAGCTGGCCTCAGGCTTGTCCCGTGGGACTGCACAGTCAGCAAGCTGAGCTGCCAGCTGGGGATAGAGTATGAAGAAAGAAGTGTGATGATTGGGGGTACCAGACTGTCAAACCATTGCAACATGAAATGAAGGCCCTTGACCTCCAGACTGGAGCTTTGGGTTTCACTGATAATCTACCAGGTCTCCAGTGCAGGTGATGGGAATGGGTAGGGGGCAGTGGGCTTGAGCAGAAGTTGATTTGATCACATGGTGCTAGGAGGTCATCAGCCCTAGCAAGTAAACGAATGGATAGGCTATAGTTAGATTTGAATTTTCAGATATCTATATAGAAAGAATTTACAAGCCAGACGGTGGTGGCACACGCATTTAATCCCAGCACTCAGGGAGGAAGAGGCAAGTAGATCTCTGTGAGTTCAAGGCCAGCCTGGTCTACAGCGTGAGTTTCAGCACAGCCAGAGCCACATAGTGAGACCCTGTCTCGAAAAACCAAATAATAATTAATAATAATAATAATAGATAAAGTACTTATAGTATCAGTATGTTGTCCTACATGTATAAGACATAGTCTGGGCAGTGTGACAATTATCATATGTGTCACACATATGATAATTAGGTTCCAAGGACTGAGACACCTGCAGCCAGGTGGTGGGACAGGCCTTTAATCCCAAGTCAGGAGTCAGAGGTAGATGGATCTCTCTGAGTATGAGGCCACTGGTCCACATAGTAAGCCCTGTCTCAAAATAAAATAAAATAAAATGGGAGGGGGGACCTGAGATTCCCTCTGGACCCATGGAGAGAAAGGAACCTAGTTACATGCCACAGTAACTCCAAGGCCAGTCAAGTGCTCACAGAAACTACTAGAAGGCAGCTCCTGGCTTAATTAGGATTGGCACAGGTGGTAAGATGGACAGTTGGATAATGTTAAATGTGTTAGATGAATACATAACTGTCAGTATGCCTTTTTAAAAAATATTTTATCTGAGCTGGCCAGTGGTGGCAGACACCTTTAATCCCAGCACTTGGGAGGCTGGATCTCTGTGAGTTTGAGGACAGCCTGGTCTACAGAGTGAGTCCCAGAACAACCAGAGCTACACAGAGACACTGTCAGAAAAAAACAAAAAAAGAAAAAGAAAGAAAAAATACTTTATTTGTTATTATGGTGTGGGTCTGATTTGTGTGTGGGGTATGCCAAGGCCTTAGCACACAGGTAGAGGTCAGAGAACAATTTTCAGGAATTGGTTCTCTCATTCCACTGTGCGTTCCGGGATCGAACCCAGGGTCATCATGCCTGCCTGGCAAGTGCTTTATATCCAAGGATCCTTTCTTTTCTTCCTTCCTTTCTTTTTTAAACTGCTCATCCTCCTGCCTCCACCTCTTGAGGGCTGGGATTACAGATGTGCACCACCATGCCCAGTGAATTCAGGCCTGGGGCTGAAACCCAGAGCTTCAGGATGCCTGGGAAGTACTTTACCCACCAAGCGATCCCAGTCATTACGGTGCTTTTGTTGATGATGGTCCGTTTGGGGGTTTTATTGTTGTTATCCATTTATTTGTTTTTTTGAGACAGGTTCTCATATGTCAGCCTGGCTTCAAACTCACCATGTAGCCAAGGATAACCTGTCAGTACTTCAGAGGGGAACTGTGTCGTATATAAACGTTATAATTGGAACATGTCTGGGAGATGGTAGCATTGACGTTAACCTGGGGGATCGCAGAACTTTCTCTACAGACATCTGCTGTGTCTTAGCTTGGCCACTGGAACAAAATACCATAGACTGGGAACTTAAAACAACAGGATATTTTTGTTGTTGTTGTTTTTTGTTTGTTTGTTTTGTCTCCCCTGGAGCCTGGAAGTCCAGGATCAAGTTAGCAGCCACTGTTCCTGGGGTGGCCTTTCTTCCTGATTTACAGATAGTGAGTTCCTCTCCACACCCTAACATGGGCTGCAGAGAAAGCACGCTTCTCTATCCTCTCCTTATACGGAACTAATCCCATCTCGGGGCCTCCATTTTCCTGATCGTATCTGAACCTTCTTCCTCCTTAAGGTCCCAGCTCCAAATACTGT